AATGCAGGGGTGTCTTTGTATATACTATTGGCATTTGATTGCAGTGTTTGAACTAAGTGTTGGCATTTGATAGTAGCAGTGTGTTTGTATGTAGTTTTGATCTTAGAATACTGGGCTATGCGCACATATGTGGCAACACACCATGACATAAAAAGCACACTAACACACAGATACACACATGTACCCACACTGACACACACAGATACAAACACATACCTTCACACACAGACACATACACTGGCACATACACAGATACACAGATAGACACATACACACACACTATGGCAAAAAAAATAATTCTCCAGGCACTCAAGGTGTTAAAGCCACAGGCAGTTTTCATAGAACAGAAAAGAACAGAAAATAACAGAAAGTTCTGGAGTTGGCAGGATTAGTTGCAAGTACTCACTCTCCTATGCCTTCTGTAGACTAGACAGACTGATGATACTAGAGTTGCAGTAGCTATTTTACAGTGTGTATCAGCTAGAGCTTCCTCTTCTCCTCCTGCAAGGCGTTTTGTTTGTGAAAGGTTACTACTGGGCAGAAGGGAAGTGATTCCTTCCTCTTCTTTTCCAGCCCCACACACAGACACCGGAGGAGCTGGAACAGCACTGACTTTTACTCTCTCTAAAGTTCCTGCAGTTCTGCTATTAAGGCTGACTGGACTACTAAAAACCCTGGGCAAGGTACCTGGTAGTTATCTCCTCACCATTCTATTTAAGTTTAAAAAGACACATTATAAATGCTGAAAACAGGTGCTCCCTACTGGTCAGGCACCTGTAGGCAGATGCCTTCTCTGCCTAAAGGGAAATTTGGCCTTTACTTGCATGTGACTACTAGACTTTGCATGGAAGAAAAATAAGGTCATCTGAAAATATTTGTTCAGTTCGAGTGAAGTTTGTTCATGTGGCATTTCAGTTCAGACAAATATCTCCCATACAATCATTTTAGGGAACATGATTCAGACAAATCAAAGTGGCTTGAAAATGTGTTTGCAATTAAAAAAAAAAAAACAACTATATATTCAGCTTCTCCATCCCTTCCCTCTTTTTTGGGCACCACTGGTACTATATCTGATTTTGTGCAACCAACTACCACTAGTCGTACCTCTTCCACTACTACCAACCTTAGACAGAGCAGTGGAGATGTTGGGCCTTGTGACACAAGGACAGGTAGACTTCCAGTCCTCATCATACCAGGAATACCAGGAATGTGTTCACTAGCTCACCCTTGAAAACTTCGAAAGATTTAAATCCAGGGGCATGTCAAAATAGCAGGAAAATAAAATCACTCACCTAGTTGCTTAGTTGATTACTATAGGGGGAGCTTCCTTTTCCATTATAGAAGGGGAGCTTTACAATATATGATTCCCTTGCAATTCTCTTTCAGCAGCAACATAATCCCATCACTGTTCCTGCATACTACTATTGAAGGACAGCAGGATAAGGATGTAAACCAGTGGGAGCACTTCACCACAGATTTATGGAGTGCTCCTAGTGGCCAGCATGCCTTTCTCTCCTTGACAACACAGGTGGCAATCTACAGTGCCTGGGTATGGTGGTTGCAACAACCTTAGCAGCATGTCAGGCTGGTAGTGGATGTCTCCTGCTACATGCTAAGGTGATGGATGAAAAGCGCACCTGAACAAACATATTGCAGGCAACCAGAAAAATGGTGTTAGATTTGTTGAGAGAGCAGACATGCACCAATCTGCTCATTGTGTCCATGTTCACCAGCGGAGTTGGTAATATGGTCAGAGCTCTGGGTTCCTGAGTTCTGACAGGGTTCCTTTGTATGTGTGTGCAATAGATGCAAACCATACTCGAGTGCAGGAGAATCGATAGGCGTTTCCACTGTAGTGTGATGACTAGCAAATTCTTGAGACAGGAGTGAGAGAGAGCTTCCTACACACCACCTGTGACAGGTAGGCAGTGGAACTACAGTTTAGACACAGTGGAAAGAATTTAGGAACAGCAGAGTGCAATCAATTGGCATGGACTCCCCACTGGGGTGAGAGGATTGGACAACATCAGGGCAGTTAGTGCCAGTTTTTATTCCATTTAGGTATGTGACAGAAAACATTTTTAACCATGGAATTCCACATTATAATACCATCTCGGATCTCTTTTCCTAGTTAGAAAACTTTAGTTCAGTTGTAGTTCTGGAACCTTTTAATTTACGATTATTATCAAGTTCTAGAACCATATTATTTATCATTATTTCTAACAATGATTGCTAATCAACCTAATGTTCTCTGTATATGTCTTTATACTACAACACGTTTCTCTTGTTATTAATACTATTTATATAATTACAGTATTTGTTTTTAATTATTTTACAAAAATATTTTAAGGTTAAATTTCTATAATTCTTTTATTCTAACCCATATTTTTTAATTAATAGATATGCTAAATGTATTTTAGGTTTGTATTACTAGTAGCAGTATAACTATAACCACTACATAAAATGTAAATCCTATATTCTTGATTTTTTTAACTATTCTTGTATGTTAGCTGAACTAATTATTGCAACTGCTATTGAAATTATTGAAATGTTCATTTGTAGTTCTTATATAAATGAAAATACTGTGAACAACATTAAGTATAAATCACATATGATCACTGAGTTGTGTTATACACTATAAATGATTGAAATGAATTTCCAGAAAACGTCACTTTGAACAAGATTGCATGCCAAACAAAATGTGTTAGTACCTGGGTTGTGTTACTTTTGCTCCTGCTGGGACTCTGTGTTGTTTAGTGACACTATTGAGGGAAAATAAATCTATCCAATGGTTTGTGGCTACGTTTCTGTTGGAAGTATCTAGTTCCTATTTTGCCTCCTTTTTTTTTAAAAAGAAATTTAGTATACCTATATTTATAAAAGTTATAGCTGCCAATATGTCTTCTTTTTCTGTTTACTAAACAGACATTCATTGTTTAACCCCTTAAGGGTGGTGGGCATGCTATGCCATACTTGGGGACCTGGCTCTAAACGCTGGCGAACAGCATAGTATGTCCCTGCCATCCTATGCAGCTACCTGCTCGCTGGCTATCCCATGCCAGCGATCGAGATGGCATACCAGGCCGTCCACCTGCATCTGATCTGGCCCTCCTGGGCCATGTGATCGCGAGGTTGTTGTGAGGACCTCACAATCACATGGACGGAATAGCCGTCCATAACAGTGCAAGCAGGGAGAATGCCTGGAATGACGGGTAGTCCACCTGCTGCCTGTAATAAAGTGAAATAAAGTTCAAAACACATTGTAAACTAAAATAATATATACTTAGATTATATTATTATTATTATTATTATTATTATTGCCATTTATATAGCGCCAACAGATTCCGTAGCGCTTTACAATATTATGAGAGGGGATTTAACTATAAATAGGACAAAAATCTCACAGGCACAATAGGTCCCTCTCAAACGAGCTTACAATCTATAGGAGGTGGGGTGTAAAACACAATAGGACAGGAAATATCAAATAGGGTGGGAGTAAAGCAGAGCTGGAGGAGAGAGTAGAGTGCAGCCCTTTAGGAGAGCGCAAGACACAGGTATGTAAAGTAGAGGTAAGTCTTGGAGGCCATAAGCTTTCCTAAAGAGATGGGTTTTAAGGCACTTCTTAAAAGATGCAAGACTAGGGGAGAGTCTGATGGCAGTAGGCAGGCTATTCCATAGGAAGGGAGTCACCCGCGAGAAGTCCTGCAAGCGTGAATTGGCCGTATGTGTGCGAACAACGGACAGGAGGTGGTCACGGGCAGAGCGGAGAGACCGAGAAGGGACATATCTATGGATCTGTGAAGAGATATAGGAGGGGCTAGAGTTGTTCAGTGCTTTATAGGTTTGAATTAGTACCTTGAATTGACTCCTATAGCAGGAAGCCAATGTAAGGCCTGACAGAGGGGTGAGGTGTGAACCGACTAGAGAGGAAAATCAGTCTGGCAGCAGCGTTCATTATGGACTGTAGTGGTGCAGTACCGCTTTTGGGAAGACCAATCAGGAGAGGGTTACAAATATTCCATGCAGGAAATTACTAGGGCATGGACAAGCTCCTTGGTAACATCTTGTGTAAGAAAGGGGCTGATCCGGGCTATGTTTTTAAGATGGAATCTACAGGATTTGGCAACATACTGAATTGGAGGCTCAAAGGTGAGGCCAGAATCAAGTATGACACCAAGACAGCGCGCTTGCAAGGATGGTCTTATGTGGGAACCACTAACCTGAAGGAAGAGCGAAGGAGGAGGATCAGTATTAGAAGGAGGAAAGACAAGGAGCTCAGTTTTAGAGAGATTGAGTTTCAGAAAGCGGGAGGACATCCAGTCAGAGATGGAAGAAAGGCAAGCAGTGACACGTTGCAGGACGGCAGGAGAGAGCTCCGGGGAGGAGAGATATATCTGGGTGTCATCAGCGTACAGGTGGTAGTGGAAACCAAAAGAGGTAACAAGTTTGCCAAGAGAGGCAGTATAAAGAGAAAATAGAAGAGGACCAATTACAGAGCCTTGGGGGACTCCAACCGAGACAGGACGAGGGGAGGAGGTGTCATTAGAAAAGGAGACACTGAATGAGCGTTGGGAGAGATAAGAGGAAAACCACAGAGTCACAGAGACCGAGTGATTGAAGCGTTTGAAATAGGCGATATTATATTTGTATATGATATATATTATGTATGTGATCTAAGTGTACATATAGATACAGACACATACATACACTTAGTGTATTTTAATATTAATATATATTAACTATATTAATAAGAAAATACACGTAGAATGGTATTACTTATATATATATATATATATAGTTTTTTATATATATATAATAAAAAATAAATATCTAAATACGTTAAAAATAAAAAATAAATAATTAATATATATATATATATATATATAGTGTTCAAGTAGAGATTGTAGCCGTATTAGTCCAGTGATGTAGATGTAAAAAAACAGATAAAATTCTTATCTTGTAATACCTTTTTTATTGGACTAACAGAATTTTTTTAATGACAAGCTTTCGGGAGAACCTCCCTTTCTCAAGTCTGAAGCATTTCTGTAGGCAGAAATGCTTCAGACTTGAGAAAGGGAGGTTCTCCCGAAAGCTTGTCATTAAAAAATTCTGTTAGTCCAATAAAAAAGGTATTACAAGATAAGAATTTTATCTGTTTTTTTACATCTATATATATATATATATATATATATATATATATAGCAAAAAATCCACAACTGCTTGGCACTCTCCTTACTAAAAAATAAATGAAAAACCAGCAAAATTGCCTAGGTGCAACCCACGTTATAAATATATGTTTGCAGACAGGGGTGCACTCAACAAGAACGACAATCAAATTATTAGGGTGAAAAAATCTTCATTATATCCGTGAACAAATCGACGTTTTGACCCCTAAGGGTCTTTCTCAAGATCACAGCACACACAAAACAGTGACAATATATACATGTATTAATTAATCAAATCACTTACCAAACATGTGAGGAGAATGATTGTGGACCCATTAACCCGCGAAACCGGAACCCCGGAAGTGCTGTACGCCGCGTTGACGTCATCACGTGGTGACGTATCGCGGAAGAGAAACGTGGTTACTAGGCGACCAAACGACGCCGTGCCAAAAGTGAAAAAAAGTGAAAAGACAGCATCCCGAGAACGGGATTTTTACAAGAACAGACACATACGTGTCTAGATGGAGGAAGCCTGACTATGCATCTAATGAGGAAGAAGAAAACCAGCATATACATATAATTAGAAAAGTAGAGATACAACGATCAAGTGTATTAGTAATGTAATGAAATAATAAAATAAAATGAACATAAAGTAGGAATAGAACATAAAATAAAAATAAAAATATAAATGAAAATAAAATGTATACACAACCCGTGTATTTAGTAATATAGTAATGTATATAGGTATATAGGTAACACACAGACAAGCCTGCCATACAGGTGCAGAATGTGAATAGGTGAGGTGAACACCAGTGAACATGTATGTGAGATAGGATGGAAGGTAGTGGTAACTACATATCAAACCTATGAACCATATAAATAGTAAATACAATAGACCCCATATACAAAACATATACATATGCAACATCTACCACAACTGCAAATAATTACATCTTATACAACATGTATATATAATTGTATCTTGTGTAGTATGCATATAAATGTGGTATTATCATTATGAGTATCTATCATATACCCAATCTTAGTAATAAATATCCTAATTATTAACATACCACACAGTAACAGCAGAAGAACTATATTAGAAGAGCTAGATTGAAAAAGCAATATCTTAAAAGCTAGAATAAGGCCAAAAGTGAATCCTTATAAAAAAACAGAATAAACTATATTCTCATTTAATCCCTTGGGAGCAACTGTATCCAACTTATAGATCCAAGCTGCTTCCCGCTGTAATAAAGCTTTAGATCTGTCACCTCCACGTGGAAGACGGGGGACATGATCAATCGCTATAAATCTTAATGTAGGCAAATGGTGTTGTGCTGCCAGAAAGTGTTTGGCAACAGGTTTTTCTGTTTTATTGTCTCGAAATGCAGTCATGATTCCTGAGCGATGACCACGTTTACGATCCCGTAATGTCAAGTCTGTCTTGCCTATGTAGGAAAGGCCACATGGGCAGGTAATCATGTAGATAACATGATCAGTGGTACACGTTATATAATGGGATATGGGTATACGTTTGCCACTATGAGGGTGGTTGAATGTTGTACCACTGATCATGTGGCCACATGTTACACAGCCTGAACATTTATAATATCCTTTCTTTTTAACAACAGGAGATTTTTTATAAATCAGCTTTAATAGATTTGATGCATGATCCTTCAATAATTATCAGGCCAGCGGACAAAGGCGGTGCAATAGTCATTAAGGCATATGCAAAATATAAATTGGAGATTCTCCGCCAGCTTGATGATACAACAACATATCGCAGATTAACATTCGATTCTATACATAAATTTCTAAAAATTATTGAGGAACATATAAACTTCGGATTACATGCAGGATATCTGGATCAGAGGAAAGCTGCGTATCTCCATGTACCGTTTCCTAGGCACCCTGTGCTTTATACACTCCCGAAGTTGCACAAAGATTCCACAAATCCACCGGGTAGACCCATTGTGTCTGCGAATGAGGGTATTATTGAACCAATTGCACAATATGTAGATTATTACATCAAGGATCTGGTGAAAGAACTTCCAACTTGCTTGAAAGATACACCCGAATTTTTAGAACATATTCGACAGTTACACTTACCAGAAGACAGGGACATCCTCCTCGTCACACTTGATGTGCAAAGTTTATATACTGTCATACCCCATGATCTTGGTATACAAGCAGTACAAGAAATGTTGTGCAGTTCGGAGTCATACATAGGTCCTCCTATTGAGTACCTTATTGAGTTTCTTTCTATTGCGTTAACTTGTAATTACTTTAAATTTGAGGAACAATTTTTCCTCCAGATAGCAGGCACAGCTATGGGGCAGGGTATGGCGCCCTCATATGCTAATTTGTTTATGCTGTTTTCTTCTTCCTCATTAGCTGCATAGTCAGGCTTCCTCCATCTAGACACGTATGTGTCCGTTCTTGTAAAAATCCCGTTCTCGGGATGCTGTCTTTTCACTTTTTTTAACTTTTGGCACGGCGTCGTTTGGTCGCCTAGTAATCACGTTTCTCTTCCGCGATACGTCACCACGTGTTGACGTCACCGGTTTTGCGGGTTAATGGGTCCACAATCATTCTCCTCACATGTTTGGTAAGTTATTTGATTAATTAATACATGTATAAATTGTCACTGTTTTGTGTGTGCTGTGATCTTGAGAAAGACTCTTAGGGGTCGAAACGTCGATTTGTTTAAGACCTGTGAGTGCACCCCTGTCTGCAAACATATATATATGTAATTTCTTTCTAACTGTATTTTGGTATTAATATATATATATATATATATATATATATATATATATATATATATATATATATATATATATATATATATATATATATATAGATATCAAAATACACTTAAAATACACTTAAAACTAAATAATATATATCTATATACATAAATATATCTGTATATATCACTATGTATATATATATATATATATATATGTAAATATTTATATATATATATACACACATACACCTATATATAAATAAAAATAATAATAATAATAATAAAAAAAAAATATATATATATATATATATATATATTGTGACGAGACCAATCTCGCCACATTGCATTGGAGGAGCCTGGTTGCCTGCCTGCTCCCTTGTGACTATGGACCAGCAGTTAAGCAGTTAATTTTACTGTTAAGAACAGCTGTTCAGTAGATTTAGTCTACCACACAAACAGCCTTCTATTAGCCTCCCCAGAGCCGTGGGGAGCCGGCAGGTGCTGTTAATTGGCCGCCCAGAATCTGAAGCGCGCCGCCAATCTACCTCCCTGAAGCCGCGGTTAAACGCGGCTTAACGAGCGTGTGCGGTCATTTGACCACCCAGTAGCTGTGGTTAACCACAGCTTAATTGACTGTTACTGGGTGACCGCGGTTACACTTAGTGGCCGCATTATTGAGCTCCCTGGACAGCCAGCGGTGCTCAGCCCGGATTCAGTGCACTAAAAGCGGATACTTTTACGTGCAGGTACCGCTGAGCCTCCAGCCTTCCCTGCTTCTACTCATGGCTATTTAACCTAACACCTGATCATTTGGGACTTTTTTTTATGTGAATACTTTAACCCAGATAGCACAGCCATGGAGCCTGTTCGTGTAATTAAAGACTTTGGCTCCATGGCAATTGAACTGTGTGTATAGGATCTGAGCACTATTCGATACAATTGTGCGCTCAGATCCCAGCTATCTGGGGATGGGTTACATGTATATATTTTATGTGATAAATGTAACATTATGTATTTTATTGTATTTTAGTGTTTTATTGTAACCATGTTGTTAATGGAGTTTTGCCTCTCTCCTTGGAGATAATTGGATTACTTCCCAATTATCTCAGGATAGAGGGGAGGGATTGTAATGTACTGTGGGTGTGTTTTAACCCTGTATGCCTGTGATTGGTAATTTTACCATTTGTGCCCCAGTCTTCCATCTGGTCCCCTAGGGGAGTGTCCACCAGGTGGAAGACCTGCATAAATACCGGGCAGGTAGTCCCATTAAATCAGATCACTGCTGGACCCACAACAAAGAGCTTTGTCTCGTCTTTGGGGGGATTTACTGTATGCTGTTAGAGACTGATTGCCAGGAGTGCAAGCCGCTTGGGTGCTTTTCCTGTTCGTCTGCTAGCAGCTATTCGTGAGGTTCTAGTTCAGGAGGTTGGAGTGCTATTTTGTAGGCAGTTCGGGAGTTTGGAACATTCCCTTGTATCCAGTTCGGGAGTTTGGTGTTCGGCAGTAGCTGTGCCTGTGTCTCTGGAAGCGAAGATTTACGATTTAACCCTTTTATGCCTGGGGGTGATGTTACATATATATATATTTTAATTCTACATATATATTTATGTAATATTTTTACATAATTAAGTCATTTTATTAATTACAATTTGTGGGATATCTCAGAAAGTCCAGAGAATTTTATTTGCTAGCACTATATTTTTTCCTGTAACTTTCCAAGACACCATAAAACTTGTACCTGGGGGGTACTGTTTTACTCAGGAGACTTCACTGAACACAAATATTAGTGTTTCAAAACAGTAAAATGTATTACAACAATGATATCATAAGGAAAAATTAAGTTTTTTGCGTTTTTCACACACAAACGGCACTTACACTGACGATATAATTGTTGTGATACGTTTTACTGTTTTAAGACACTAATATTTGTGTTCAGCGAAGTCTCCCGAGTATAACAGTACCCCTCATGTACAGGTTTTATGGTGTTTTTAAAAGTTACAGAGTCAAATAAAAGGCATGTGTTTCAGTTTTTTCACATTGAAATTCACCAGATTCGTTATGTTGCCTTTGAGACCGTATGGCAGCCCAGGAATGAAAATTACTCCCAAGATGGCATACCATTTGCAAAAGTAGATAACCCAAAGTATTGCAAATGGGGTATATCCAGTGGTTTTTAGTAGCCA